GTGGGCAACAAGGCGACAGGGGCTACGTAAATCTTCCGAAAGAAAAAGAACAAAAAAACATGCGTCTTTTAGTCAAATACGAAACGCGCCAGGTGATCGTTCTGAAATGGACAAAAAATAGTCGCGCCTGCAATTTTGGGCATTTGGGCGCTGGAAGCCACGCTCCGTCCCTCCTAATGGTGCGGGGACGCCCCGCTGCCTTGGCTTGGAAGCGAACACGCGCGATTCCCCTCGTTTTGGGCGCTTGTCGAAGATTCATGGAAGAAATCAAAGTGGAGCAGGCGCTCCGCTAAGTGACTGCACGCGAGATGCGAGCTCGCGATTGGCCGCTGGCGGAGTCCGTCGGCACAAGCAGCCGCCGAGCCCTTCGAGCGGTGGGCGGGAGCGCCGGCCGCACGCGGGGCTCGCCGGGCTCCGCGAATCGGCCGCAAACGTCGTCCTGCCGACCGACCGATTAGTTCGAAGGACGAAAAGTTTCGGGAGTACCGTTTCTGGCCGACCGTAATGAGGCCATTACGCGGCGGCTCTCCTCTCAAATTGGCTGTAATTGTCCTCCGGGACGCTATCCTCGAAGAGCGGCTCTCCCAGCAAACGGTGGCCATTCAAGATCCCGAGTTTCGCCCCAGGGAATTAAAGGAGACCGGGCGAAATGGAGCCGGCTATATTCGCCCCGATGTCTGATTCCCACACGTGACTCTACCGTGAAACGGTTCATCGAGCGCTCTGGTTGATTCGCTGCACCTGGACAAAGTTGTTCGTTGGAAATCGAAGGGTCGTCCGAACGAGAGTGGGCGCGGGCGAGGTACGGTCAACGTCTCGAGCGAATAAAGCGTCGTATCGACCGCCAACCATCTTCGTAACCCCTTTTCTTTTTTGGTACGCTTCAATATTGGTTCGACGTCTCAGCTCTAGAACATTTTAAACTTTTCGTTTTCGCGTGCGCTTCCTAAGATCAGGCTGTCGAGGTAATCGTCTTTGCATTGACGGAAGTTCTTTTAGGTTGGCTCCGACCGTTCGGTATAAATGTAGACGCACGGACATCGTTTGTCTGGACGCGCAAGTATGCACACGACCAATGTCGGCCGCCTGCTTCCCCTGGCGGCCTTCCTTATTCCAAAGGCCCACACGAACCGACGAAAAGAACCTGGGTATATTATGCTTCGCTTTATTTTTGATCGATTACCGGAAAGGTTTCAATCCTTGGAACCATTAAACTGAAATATGATTAGCGTAAAAGTTTGGGATAGTTGGTGCGCAGACATAATTAAAAAGGAAACAGTGCAAAGACGAGGACACAGCGCTGACTCTCAACTGAAGATTTATTCATGTTAGCATCCAGCAGTAACAGCAAACATGCCACAATAAATAAATCGAGGAAAAACACAAAAAAAAATGCGTACCAGGTGTTCAATAGAACACCGTCACTGGTTTGCCCTTTCCGATAAAGAGCGACAGTACTTGGAGCGAGGAGGACGAACATGGGACGGTGTTGTATGGACCACGTGATATGCAATTTTTCTGCTTTTCCTCGATTTATTTGGTGTCGCATTATCGCTATTTCATGCTACCGGGAAGAAATCTTCAGTTGAGAGTCGGCGCGCTGTCCCGTTGGTGGCCTTTTACTTTGTCCTCGTCTTTCCACTCTTTCGTTTTTAATTATAGTGAAATATGAGCTGAGAGAATGATGAGTTTGGTTTATCATAGTTGCATGAAGGACAATAACACAAATAATATTTTCATTCACAATGTCGATTGGTTTCTGATATTGTTGTTCCTTTCCCTGGTTTGCTTTCATTAGTTGTATGATAGCATACATGCTCCAAAAATGTTGCCTGCCATACCAGCCTTTTGGTCGCCAGATGCCGCATAGAACCCCCCACGTGCTTTCGCGTGCAAGAATGTTTATAATAAAATATTGAATAATAATAATAATAATAAAATTAATATCATTATCACTATTATTATTATTATTATTATTATTATTAATATTATTATTATTCCCTCGATAGCGGAAACGGCAGGCTCGTCCAACTGGACTGTTTTTGTATTCGCACACCAATCGCAAAACCATTGGCCTTTTTTGTGTACTTTTTTTTTTTAATTTTGTTTTGTAAACAGCAAAATATTTTTTTTTTTCCACGACCATGATGCTTAGAGCTATCGTTGTATAAAAATTCTGCATACTTGCGCTAATCCCCAGTAGAGTCCCCGCGTTAGCCTCGACATGTCAGGGCGAAGTCGTTGGACGTCGGCGTCGCGTTCGCGTAGCATGGGGTGCGGGAACCGAGCGTTCGGAACAAAATACTCATCTGAGCATTTTGTTCCGAACACTTTTGCTTTACAGCGCCGTTACGGACTGTTCCCACCACTGGAAATGACGTCCCTGTTGAGGTTGGAGTTGTTGTTGGCGTGGTGGGGCTCAGGGGGTCCGTTGTCCACGCTGCTAAATCCTCGAAAAGCATCTCCCGCCACCAGCGGGAATCGAACCTGGGTGCGCTGCGTGCGAAGCGGAGGGGTTCACCGGCAATACGCCAGACTGGGCGGACCGGTTGTGTATGAAGGAATTTTAATTCAGTATCTGCGCACAAGATCTGGGTACTCTGATTTTATGCACTGAATAAAGAAAAAAAAAAAGACGTGACGTAGCTTTGTGGCAACGCCCCCGCTTCGCATGAGGCGGACCCGGGTTGGATTCCTGCGGGAGGCGGGAATCTTTTCCGAGGATTCGGCAAGATCGACAAGGGACACCCTACGCATTACTATGCCAACTGCAACATCATCAACAACTACAACATCATCAGCCAGTGCATCATCGACAACGACATCAACTACATCAACTACGGCTGTAGGAAAAGCCCAGCTGTAAAGCCGCGTTCCCACCGGCGATGCGATCTAGTCGCGCGATAACTTTCATCGCAAAAGGGACCATCGCGGGCAAAAAGCGACGCGATTTGAGCAGTCGCTACTCGACCCGACTTTTTTGCATTGCGATCTAGTCGCGGGGAGGCTGAGCCAATCAACGGCGTTCGGAGCGAGAGTTTTCGAGAAACGACTCGCCAACGAAGGCGTTGGACTCGCCCATCGCGCACGCCGTCTAACTTTTTTTGCGATGCGATCTAGTCGCATCGCGCGACTGCTTACATCGCCGGTGGGAATGCGCCTTAAGAAGAAGAAAAGCTATGGTTCCTTGTTCCCCTCCCAGTTGGAGTCGATCGCTGCGGAACGAGGGACCGGCATCGCCGCGGTCCGAACCGGGCGTCCCGGTCGTGCGGCGGAGCGGGCGGCCCCCGTCGGGTGGCAGCGCGCATCGCTGGCGCGGGCAGGCTCCGGGGCTGATGGACGGCGGCCTAAGCGCCGCTTAGCCGCCGGCGATCGGCCCGACTGAGCGCCCGGACTAATGGGCCGTGGACGGAAGCCCCCGTCGGCTCCCGGGCTTCCCGACCAGCCTCCTCTCTCGTCCCCCCGCGTTCATTGAAGCCGCGTCAAGTGCGCTGCTGATTTCAATCGACAGAGCCGCGTATGCACAACGCTTTAGCCCCAAATGCTCATGCAACATCCCGGTGTTCATTGTTGACGGCCATGATGCAGGACTACCTTCACGCATGTTCGGAGCAGCTTTGCTTCATAAAGAGGCTGCGGGGAGACAACGGGCTTCCTTCAAGATCTCCCCCTGCGATCCTCGCGTGCTTCATCTTCATCCTTTCTTTTTATTTTTTTTTTTCCATACAAGCTCGGACCTGTGGCCCTGAACAGTGCTTGCGATGCACGAGGGCGCGTGCTTGGCAGGGACGCTAAAAGACAGGAGCTCCCTCTCGTATTTCAACTTGAGGAAGAAAACGAGAAGGGACGGACAAACACGAACTTCCATTGGAAGTTTGTTTTTGTCCGTCCCTTCTCGTTTACTTCCTCAAGTTTAATAATCCATTATAGAGAGTTTTAGTAGATCGTGTTTTCAGGCCACGCTAGCCGTAGCGGGAGCTCGCGCTGCCACTTCGATGCATGCTCTGAAGCGCGCGCTCGTAGCGGTAGCGGGACTTTGAAAACGATCTACTAAAACTCCCTAATAACCCGCTCGTTCTGTCCTTGCATCGCTCTCGTAGCTTCTGCTACGCTCCCACGTAAGCCTGGTTCACACATTTGCAACGGTTGCGTTCATATGCAACCGAAACGACCAAACCACCGCAACAACCGTGACTCGTGGATTGTCTGGCGAAGCTACTCCTTGCATCGCTTGGTTGCCGTGCTGTCTACGGCGAGCACTAGTCTTGGTGACCAATTGTCGTTACGCGTTACGGTCTTTTCAGTCGCATCCCAAAGCAACCAACGCAGATGTGGGAACCAGCCTTTAAAGTGAAATTGTGTACAGAGTAGCGCGGCACCACAGGCCTCAGCTATGAGCTAACGGACTTTCTGAGGTGCCCCTCCAGGGTTTAATAAAGATGTTAATATTATAGTTATTATTATTACTATTATTATTATTGACGTCTATGCTTCAAACATGTCAGCTTTTGTATGACCGATGTGTCTGTCACAGAATAAAGAAACACGCCGCACACAGAGCCTGCGGACTGCCTTTTGTATGATGCAGTGTGACCGAGGCTCTCAAGTACTCTCCATGTTCGACATTCATTCGTACTGCGCGATGCAGGGAAATGCCACAGCGGCTCGCATTTTCCTAGGTTGGGGAAATGGGACATCAAGCTCCGAGTTCTACCACTTAATCGTGCCCAACGCACGCGCACATTCCACTACCCTATAATTTGAAGCATTCGTTCTGAGTGTTTTTATGGGAAAAGACGGCGACAGCGCCTTCGTGCCGTATAGCTAGCGATCTTTCGTATTACTTGTATTACTGCCTTTTTTGGCTAGTTCCTAAAAAAAAGTTTAAAGTTGAAAACAAAGTAACGGAAGGAGGGAGCAGAGAAAGATCTCTGCGGAAGGGCGAGAGCAGGCACCCTATAGGGAGCGGATCGTTCTTCAGGCGACAAGAAGAAACTCACGTTGTGGAGCTTGAAGTAGAGTCCGCAGGCGTTGCAGACGGGCTCTCCGTTCTGGTTGCGCCTCCACAGGGTCGTCGTGGTCGTCTTGCAGTTGGCACAACTCGTCCCAGCGCGCCGGGCGGCCGACTGCGCACGGAAGCGAGCGAGCACGCTTTTAAAAGCCTCCCAGGATCGAGAGGCCATCAGCGACACGGGAGCGGGGATACAGCCATACTTGGGCGTGCCATACTTCCAAAATTTAACTACAATTACTACTTCATGAAAAGTAATTGATTACAATAACAAATTACTTTTCCAAGGTGATGCAATTACTTTACAGTGACTTATTTCTGAGAGCGACCCATCTAGGGTATAAAACCTTAAACGAGTTGTTTAGAATGCAACCTATTTGTTCATTCCTCGCCCCAATGTTTGCGGCGTTTTAAAGATCGCTGTATAAATGCCACGTATTCAACTTTCCTTTTGTGAATTTTGTTACAAATTAATGATACAACTTGATAGTTTCGGGTAATGAAATCCTACGCTCTTATATTTTCAATAAATAATAATAACTACTCCGAGACGCCAGATCGCTAAAGTAAAGCTGGGATGACACACTTTAGTTAGTCAGGCAAATAAAATGCGACAATTAGTCGTATCTGAATATTTGAAGTGTTAATTTAAAATTAAAATCCACACGCGCTAATACAACCACATTCACTCAAAAAACGTTTCGTTATTGAAACTTACTAACATTGAGTTGGAATTATACTGGCTCAGGAATATAAAAGGACCAAATCGGGGCTCTCGAATCAATAGCGACAATTTTCATAGGTGCGACGTCAATCTCCAAAGTGCATATTCAAATAATATTCGAAGTAAAATGAACAGGAAATTAACTTGCAAATAATACGAAGAAACAAATATGCGGCAGTACTGGAAGACAAACATTAAAAAAAAATAACTCGCAAAAAAGAAAAGTATTTTTAAAAACAATTAAAGTTCCAAACCTCCGCTGAAAGCTGAAGCTCAATTTTGTTCCTTCCTATATTTTGACATGTTTAAGCTATTTATTGTTTTCTGCTCGCATCGCAGACTGCGCCACATGGCGCCGTTGAGGTAGGCTTCAAAGAGGATTGTCTCTCAACCCGTGTTGTAAGCAACAAAACAACGAACAATGCGACGCTATTTTTGTTTTGCGTGTGTGTGTGAGTGCGTGTCTATGTGTCCGAGTGTGTCACCGAGCGCGATGCCGCTTGCGCGAACGGTGAGGCTTTCAGAGAGGTTCCGTCGGCGCCGCAAAGTCTCGCAAACGTAATTGTAATTGTGCCTGAAATTCTGCAACTACTAACGCTAAAAAGTAATTAAATGACAAATACAAATTACAAAGAAAATGATTCAATACCAGTGATTCGATTACTGTAATTGAATTACTTCCCAAGTTTGGATGCGGCAGTTTAAAAATTGGGAGGGCGCGCCCGTTTCCTGCCCACGCCAGGCCACTTACCGACCCTGTTCAAATCGCCGATCGCAGCTTCTTAGATCTGCTAATATATATACAATGTTTCATATTCGAATCGCCCGGCTTCTAATACATTTTCGTCTCATTCCATCGTCTCGAGTTTATGGGAAGCTTTACAAGATCGTTCCGATACGTCCAATAACGATCTTCCGCCGACGCCTTTGTGCATATATCCTATTGTTATTCGACATCGTTATCGAAGCTATCGGAACGATGCATTAAAACTCTATCGCGGGCGGGGCAGACATCATCCAGGCTTGGCCATTAAGAGCTTCCACGCACGTCCGGCGCGTACTGCGGCGAAGCCAGGCGACACGAGCGCGATTCTTGGATCGTATTAAACGGGACGGTGGCACAGCGAGCTGGACACGGCGCGGCCTGGGACCGTGAGACTGGCGGGCAGGCAGCGAGCGGCCGACAAGCGCTCCCCCGGGTGCCGGTCGACCGCCCCCCAACCGAGGAGGGCCAAAGAGAGCTGGGCGCGCTTGAAAAGATGGCGTCTCCTGACCCCCGAGTCAGGCGCGGCGATTAATTACCGGGCCGCCGACAATTGGCACCCTTGGGCGCAGGAATGCGCGCTTGCGCCCGGCCCTCCGAAGGGGGGCTGCGTCCGCCGACCCATCTGCATACGCCGGGCCCCACACGAGCCCCGGTCCGGAAGCACCAAGCCGACAAGCTCGGGCCTGGCGGACGAGCCATTCATCCGCCCAGGTAATGGCGTCATTAGACAGTTTGAACGGGTCGCCTTCACGCTCCGATAGGATATTGACTCGGATGAAAGCGGTTCGCATTCACTCGAGGGCAACTTTTTCTGGCAGTGGCGTCCAAGCCGTGGGCACCGCTGCACTCGCGCGCCTTCAGCGCCGATCCAGGCTATTCGGTGCGAGAACTTGGGGTATCGCAACAGCATCTTATGACCCGACTCTTTTTTTCTAAGATGTTTTAGGAAACTGGTACTTCTGTCCACTTCGCTATTTTATAATTTTGAAAACTCCGAGGAGCCACCACCAGGAAGATGTACCGTACGTGTCGGAAAAATATGCCACGATACGACAGACTTGAAGGTCAGTCAGGATCGTGCCACTTCAATTTCTAATATTATTATCGGGGCTCAAAAAGCAGCCATGTAACTAAACCCTCGCCATTGTTTTTATGGTATCCAATTAATTATAATTCGCTATTGTTTTGTTGCTCTTCTCAATCAAAAACGCCTCGATTTATTTTGGAGATGACGATGTGCCTGGTAACATTACTTCCGAGACACGCTCATGCTGAATAGAGTTGCGTTTGAGCTTTATGAATACGACATTGTAGTGGCAGTAAGCTTAGCAGCGGTAAGCTTGTGTAAAGTGGAAAACATTCAAACTCAGTGTCGTTGCACTGCTCCTTTAAGCAATGTAATCAACCGCGGAGTGTCTAATTATTGTTTAATAGATTACCATTTCCCCCCCGCTAACTGGGCATTTCAGCGGATGCTTTCCGTCTTGCCATGCGTCGTTGCTACGCATGCACGCTGACGGGGCAGGATGGGCACTGCACCGGTGTGCAGTCACGGTGATAATTGGAGCACTATGCCCACGTGATTGGGTGAACTGATCAATGCGAAATTGATTGGCACTCTGCGTACATCCCGGAGCAATGCATACGCAGTAGCTTCTGAGAGTGCAGCGCGAATCGTTGATGTAAGCTCTGTTAAGAAATACCCGAACGAATGGGTGATGTGCACTGCCCGGCCCAATTGTTGCGAACAGGACATCGTGGCTGTTTCGCGTGTGAGCCAGACAAGCTATCGAAAAGACTTTGCCGCTCCACTTGGTACCTCGAATGAGCTCTTTGGACAACACCTGACCAGCTAAGAAGACGCTCCGCCTCCATGTGCGAGCATTCTAACGCTCGGTCGCACGCGCAGTCAAAGCCCGGCGGAAGGCAAGGAGCGCGTGGTGGAGCTGCCATTTGTATAGCCTGTCACTGGATGTATTAGTTTGGACGACCGGGATTCAATTTTCGAAGGAAACAAGAAAGAAAGGCGCAGTTTGTCTTTCGCGCTCAGGGTGTTGCAGGGCTTAGCTACGTCCGGCGCTGCAGAGGCGTCTCTATCCGAGAGAAAGGAGCGTTTGCTGGCGGCCCCGCGAGGGGCAGAGCAACAGCCGCCTCGACCGAGCGGCCGGCAGGCGGCCAGCAAGAGACGTCGGCCATCGCCCGCTGCCCCGGCCGAGTAATTAATGGCACGCCGGGCGCGAGGCTGCGAGCGCCGACAACATGATGCATGGCGGCCGACCGGCCTCGGCCGAGGTGCCGAGCAGACGCCGACCAGACACCGGGCCGGGGGCCCCGAACCCCCCTCGGGGGGGTGCCCGGGTCCCTAGAGTCACGGCTCCTCCTGAGCTGCGCGTGCACGGGGGGAGCCGGCGTTGGTGCAGCGGCGGGGCGTGGTGGAGTCCCTTGCGGCCGCCCCGCCCGCCGCTCGCTCAGGCGGCCTGTTTGAGCGGCCGTTATCGATCTTGGCCGAGCCGTCCTCCCATCCGGCCCGGATCCTGTTCTCTTTAGCGCCCTTCGGGTCGGGAGAGCGGCGGCCTCGCGGGACCCGGGCCTGCCCACGGAGCTCCGCCGCAAGCCCCACGTCATTGAGACTCGATCCGAAAATGCTCCATGCATGGCGCTTCGAGGCCAGCGGACGCACGTTCTTGCTTGCGTGTGGAGTTGCAAAGAACGGGAAAGCCGTTTCGAAACGACTACATCTACCGGTGAATTTCGCCATTCTAGGCTCTGTGAGTCGCCAAGCGTTTCATTGGGCCAGCTCGTTGATTTGATTCCATGAAAATATTGAAGAAAAATTCGAGGACGACACGTGTCCAACGATACAAGGTGCTCGTTAGGACGTTCCAAAACATTTTCATCGCACAAACCTATTATTTGTGTATTCTTTAATAAAGGATGTTGTTTCTTGAACATTTATGTTCACGCGATCTGATTGAAATGACCTTATAATTTCAAAGTGTGAGTTTGCAAAAATAGATTCTCGAAATTCGTATATTTCTTCGAATTTTCCTCTTGGCATCGAAATGTAGACGATAGTTTTAGTGCCTTTTCTTGGACGTTACTTGCGACCCGTGGCGTAGCCAGGAATTTGTTTTCGGGGGGTAGGGGGGGGGGGGGGGGGGGGGGGGGCAGCGGGAGTCAAAATCATGTGTATATTATAGGGTCGGCTGAATTTCGGGGGAGGAGGGGAGGGCTGAAGCGCCATAAGCCCCCTCTGGCTACGCCCCTGCTTGCGACTCTGCGTGTTCTTTACTTCTGCGCTCTTTTACTTTTTTTCTTGAAGTCAATATTGTGATGAGTTTGTTTTATTTTGTTTCTACTGTCCATAATATTAGTAATTAAAAGACCCGTTCAAGAATATTAGATTGTAATGTTACATAACACAAGCCTACTGGCGCTACAAGCTTCTCTGTTTCAGTGTAATTTCGAGGATAAAAACGAACTTTTCTTTCAGCGTCCTTTTTGCAAAACTTTATGACATGGTCACAGGCATTGCAGTGTTGTCGGAGTTACGGAGATGAAGCCACAATGACTATATTTAAATGCGTGAGCATTACGCGAGAGCTCGAATCGGGCTCGTAACAAACAATTGACGAGGCATTCGCGTGCCCAACCGCAGCAATGACGGGAAGAGCCGTACCCTAATAATTGTCTGGAACTCAGCGCGTGTCGTGTACTTTGCCAAGCCATAGCTATTCTGAACTTTGGCGGCTAAGATGAACGAACATTGATGAACATTGGCACCAGATCACGCGGTGCCAATTCCGCTGTCTGCGAGTTGAGAACGTGAACGCTGCTCTTTTTTTATCTTGTTTCTTTCTGCAACTGCTTTCGAATGTAGAGAAAGTCTAACATGTGTTTCATACGTGGGTCATGAACAACAAGGCACATTCCGAGCGGTGCTTTCTGACAGTACAAAAATTGCCACACCACCCCTTGACGGTTGCGCGCATATTTGGATCAATCCTCGGCAAATCGATGGGCGCCTGGATGTGGCGGTCTCCTTGACGAGTGCGGATATCAGGCTCATGTGGCGAGAACACCGATGATCACTCTGTGCCAGGCTTGGGACTTCGGTCGCCGTTCTGTGTACTTGTCGCTGCAGCTGTCCGACGCGGTCGCAATTTGTCACGCTCTGTTCTAGTCGCGCGCGCAACTCGGAGTCGGGTTCTCATCGACCAGGCATTCGTGACGATCGGGTCGCCGTCGCTGGTTCCGCCGACGCTGCGATCCCCCACTCCGCACGTACCGATCGCCGATGGCTCCCGAAGCGAACGGGGCCCGGAGGGAAACTTGCGTGACTTCTCCGTGTGCTTGTTGGCTGGGGCCGCCTCCCCCTCCGGCTTTCCGCAGTAGAGGATTCGCTTTCTCGCGAGGGTGACCGGCACGCTACGATGAAGAACGCTCGAGCTTTTGTTCTTCGCTTTCTCTATCAACGGCGCTCCGTGAGAGACGCACTCTGTTGAGTGCCCCGCTAGAGCGACTAATATTCGTCGACACGTTCCAGACGCTGCGCTCGTCCACGTTTCTTATGGCCCTCACCGACTGGCCGCAGGAGACCGCGTAGACAAAAGCCTCACTTTGTTCCGGGGAAGAAAGCAGCGGGCTAAGGTCGTTAGAAATCCACCGGTCTGAGTCGCCAAGCCCTTCGTAGCAAAACAGAAAGGCTCTCCCGTGCGCTGTCACCGCACCGAACGAGGGTGCAAACGGGGAAAGCCTCCGCAGACGCTCCGGGGGAAGACGTCGGCGTGACGCCAGGCACGTGGCGGCGCTATCTGGCTCCATTGTCTCCGGCAGCGAATGGCGGAGGAAAAGCCAGGGCGGACGGGAGACCCTCCCTCGACTCTTATCGACGTTTCCCGTCGCTGGTTGTTGCGGCGCCAAAAGTTTTCCTTTCCTGCCGGCCCGGAAGCAGCGAAGCAAGGCGCCGCTTTTTGATCGTTTCCGACCGCGCAGGGCCAGGTGACGCCGAGCCAACGCGCGGCCCGCCACACGCGCGGGGGCGAGCGCGCGTCAGGAAATGAGCTCGCCTATTTTTTACTCCGGCACCGATAAGGGATTCGCCGGGATGGCTGGTGTCATTTTTCGCGCCTGCGAGGACACGCTGTTTGTGGGCGCGCTGGCTGCGGCCCGCTGCGCTTATCGCGCGCTCTCAGTGACAAACGGCACGTCGCGCTTCCTCCCTGCCGACTAATGAAGCTCATCAGCGACTCACGCTTCTTGCTCGTGGCGGAGTCTCTTCAGCGCTGTGCCCAGCCGCCACGTTTGTGGGTCTCGTGCCGCGCGAACCGCACAGCTCTGTCAGGGCGTTTCGAGAAGAGGCCCGAGCGGGAGACGATTCTTCCTCGCGGCCTCTCCGGGAAATTTCCTTTTTGGCGCTTGCTTCCCTCGTCCCGTTTCGAGGCATTGCTTTGGGGGAATGCGACTTGCGTCCCGAGCTAATTAACACCCGCGTGTTACGTCAAACGTAAACAAAGACAGCGTACACGGGAGGCATAAAGACAACCTAAACTAGCTTGGCAGACATCGCTCAACCGAATTGAACGATGTCTACTCGAAGGAGTGATACTTCTCAATAATATTTGTTTCCTGAAACTTTGATCCTTGCGACCCCGGAATCAGAACGTCTATCGAAACGGATGAGCCCAAACCAACAACTGTGAGTGTTCTTGGGATGTCGTCTGCACTTTCAGAAGTCCCTGAGTGTTTATGCCGTGTCAATGCTTAGAAACCCACAACTGAGACTGCTATTTACACGACACGCTTTGAGAAAGGCCCGCGCGTCTGCTTTTCCGCAACGCCCTCCGGGTGCCCCTGCAGGTGCTGGGGCTCTTTTAGGCTACCAGCAGGCACATGTTTAGACGCTTTCTAAATCCAGCAAAGCACGGGCAATGCTGAAAACGGCACCGGCCAGAAGACCTTTGGTGGAACAAAAAATGGCTTTTGGCGGCAGCCGCTTTAAAGGTTCACGAGTTTTGGGCGAGCTTCCCTCACCTGCCCAAACAGCTAAACTGATACTTCCCGTAAAAAAAAAAAAAAATACGTGGAAAGGTTTTTTGCAGGACCACCAGTCACTGATCCTAATTAGTTCACCCTTCATGTGCGCTTTGCTAGGGTGATGCCATCCTTTGTAATACCACTCGCCGACAAACCAGCAGAAGGGTGCCTTCGCACATGAAGGCACCCTAGTTCACCCTATTTCACAAGATCGATCGGTGTCATCTTCCAATGGTTGTGGCACCTCCGTGACCAAACGGCGCAACCCTTTTTGCCCCCGAGATTACACGTGGCAACGGAAGTGCGATCGGCCTTCGTATGGGCTGAACCCGATCGAAAGAAGACCAGCGATCTGTGTTCCGAGTGCGTCGCGTAGAAGCGCACGCCCGCCCGAGCTTTGGACAGGTTGCGGACGAGGAGGGGGAAGGTGTACTCACGAGCCTGCGCTTGGGCTTGATGAGCGGCCTGTTCTGGCCGTTCATTTTGTGGTAGAGACCGCATGCGTTGCACAGGTAGTGCCCGGTGCCGTCCCGTCGCCACAGCGGCGTCGACGTCGCACCGCAGTTCACGCACTCTCTGCCCTCTGCTCGGACCACGGGGAGGGAAGGACACAGGGACGTCAGTGAACGGACCTCCGCGCCACACACTGCTCAAGACCGGCTGGAGGCCTCCCCGCAAGCGTCATCGCTAGTGGATCTTCCCATCGCCACTTAGCGTGCATCAACGAGCGCGACGCCAAGACGGACGCGTCCGTCTCTTTGCGCTGGTTCTATGTGAAGCTTGAGCGTGTTTGCCGCTCGCTCGAAGATCCACTAACGATGACGTCATGCGCAGGCCTCTAGGCGCTATCGACTAAAGTGCTGTTCACGCGGACGCGCTACACAATTGTACACCAGACAAGGCATACGGCCGGATAGGATGCTTCAACAGCTTCCGGTCGTTTTAGAACACCAATTAGCGCTCGTCGAGAGCTTAAAGTTATGCCGCGTACGTCTGTCCCTGTGGAAACCCCTCAGCACGTCGGTCAGCGGATTTTGGCGGCTCGAAGGGCTACCGAAAAGGCACCAAAACATACGGATGTGGCTGAGAGTTGAATGTTGAAAGACATCATATCCGGCGAAGTTTGCCGTTCAACGTTTGGAGCGCGACGTTGATCGCTCCGGTGTCTTCTACAATGCTGGTTCATTTCCCACGTAAAGGGTGGGCGCACGAACCGCTTTGAACGGAGACGTTTTGATCCTTTCAACAAAGACCGGCTGTCCAATTCCCTTCTCGGCCTCCTGGGGCTTGACTGGCGTGCACGAGAGGCACGCCGAATCTGAGGGCGTCCGATTCAACCCGAAGGGAAGGACACCGCTCGGTTCGTGATAATCGTACGCATTAGGGTAGAAACGCGGTCGTTACGAGAATAATAATTCGGGAAATGTTTCTCCGCCGATCTTGCGGAAGTTGTTTGAGCGTACGGAGTGTTACGAAGAATTCGAAGAATCACTTTAATCGTTTCCGTAATTACGCGGGTAAATTAAAATTTGGAGTGTCAAGTGCGAGATAATGCGACGTCAGAAAGCATTGTCCATCTCCTGCGCTGGTCTCTCCGATCCCTGATGGGCAAATTTTGAATGAGAGCGCACAATCAGACATACACACACTGAGACACCTTGACACACATGCTGCACAAAGATTTCGGATAATCAAGACGCAACTGCCTGAAGCACATTTGAACATATAACGATTGCACCTTCTGGGTACATTCTCAAAAGGCCCGCGAGTCTGCCGGGCTGACACAGAGGCAGCGGATGGCGTTTAGTACGACAAAGCAGAGGGAAGGTTCTGACTCGGAAGCTCGGCTGTGTAACAGAAAGCATGAACCGACCTGCAAAGTTAGGTCGAGGAATTGAGTCAAAAGGATTAGTATCCTTTTGCTTGTCTCCTCCTTGCGTTTTCCCTCTACCCTTCTCCGAGTCAGACAAGTGGACGGAGACGAGCGGACTCGGCTAAGGCCTTCGTTTGTTTTTCTCCTGCTTTATACATTGCCTTCTGTGAACCAGAGTCAAACTTACGGGCCTTTTTAAGAGGACAAACAAGAAAAATAGATCATCTTCAAAAGTCGGAAGCACCTAGTGGCAGTCTCGAAATCACCAATATTTGAGACTGATGGTGGCGATAGGAAAAACATCGCCTAGTTTCAAGCATTGTCGACTTCGTAAATCGAAGGCGACCTACAGGGACTTACACATCATGATCAGTTCTCCGCTTTCTGCTCTATGCCCTCGAAGATGTTCGCTTTTCCAGGAGTTTAGGAGCTGCGGTTTGGATGTCTACAGGGTGGGCAGACTGACTTTTGAAAAGGGTCTATTGAGCACATCAAAGATTCGGTCAGGAGCGAGCAGTTGAGCGCCGTTAGTCGGAGATAAAGGAGGGGTGCAGGCAGAAGAAGGCAGGCCCCGCCAGAGGCGGAGTGCGCGGGAAAGAATCCCGTCCGGAGTGCAGCGGTGCAGAGACAGACCAAGGGCCAGGAGCCGTGCGTGCCGCGGACAGGGAGGGACAGACCGCGGAGAAAGCGACGCCCTCGAGCGGCCACAGGGCGCAGAAGACGACGAGACGCATCTGCCCTGCTGGGGCAGCCCTTCAGCCGGTGGCGTCTTGTGCCGGGACGAACCGCAGACGCCGCCAATCTCGCTCCCGGCGGCCGAGTGTCTGCGTTTCCCGGCGACTGTTTCCGCTGTCAGTCGAGATGTCTTTGGGTTGTACCGGCGACGGTTCCTTTTGTGTCGCCGCCGACCTCGCGTTGTTCGCGGCGGCGCAAGTCGACAGCTCTCAGGGCCCCACGGAAACGCCTGGGGACTTCGTGGGACCACTCCAGCTGGGCGATGACGACCGCGCGAAGTCGCCGCACTTCGGCGACAGGCGACGTACTCCACCGATGACTCGTCTATTACTTGGTCGATTACCACTTTGACGTCAATCGCTCGCTGGACAATTCTTCGCCCAAGTTTCAGCAAAAATCGCCGTGGTACCGGACGAAAGCCTCGATGGAACAACGACTCGATGAAGCGATTCCACTTGGCTGCAATGCATACTCTGTCACGAGATCCTTACGAACTCCCGCAGTCGCTGACGGGGTCGGATGTTGCAAGCGGATGGAACTAATAGGAGATATAGAAGGCAAGGCCTCACCCAAAACGTCGTTGTTGGTAGGTACCCAACCGGCCCCAAGCCGTGCTGAAGCTTCACGATCGAATCGCCGCCAAGCGGCAGACTTCCGTCATGGCGTCGCCGCGCGCTCTCTCGACCGCGCCAAATACGCGGCGACCCCACGATGGACGCGTCTTTACGGCTACTCTCGTCAGCCTTCAGCCTGTTTGCCGCATGAGGCAGGGATCCACTAACGATGACGTCATGGGCAGGCCTTGTCTTCTAGCTGGTGAAAGGCCCGGCAGCTTCGGTAAAGGAGTCAAATCAACGAGGTTGTCCCGTATGTTTTCAAACGACGCGCGCGCGAGGTCTTTGTGCACACGAGCCAAAACGGTGGCCACCCGTGTTCGCGACACGACATACGAGCCGAACAACAAGCAGCTCCCGAGGGCTCCCGCGAGCCTTTGTTCGCGACGCGGAAGCGTTGCGCGTGTCTCTCCCACGCGCGTCCTTTTTGTTTCGCGCAGAACAAAGGGCCGACGCGACCGACGTCGAGCGAGGCCGCACTACACGTGAGCGCGTGGCTCACAGATGTACGCGCACCGAGGCACGAAACAATGGCGGCCGAGGCAGACATCGGCGCCGGTCGCCGCGCAGTCGCTTCTTGGGCGGTGACGACTGCGGGCACGAGGCGGCATCTCGAACCACTCGGCGATTTTGCGCCAGGTCGCGCGGGAGACGCTGCGCAAGCATCATCATCATCGTCGTTATCGTTTGACGGTGGGAAAGGGGTCGAAAACTAGGGTTTAGGTTTTCAGCGCCCCTGCACTAATTTTATTTTGGCGCACGAAACGATATGCGATTAGTGAAATACCAATTTATCCCAGCCGAAAGTTCATTTTATGGTCCCTTGGAAGAGCCACACTGCTCCAGTCAAAACGTCAGAAAGCCCTTTTTCAAGATCCTGCTCTGTATAAACTACAAAATGTGGGGAACACGCTGACTCCTAATTAAACGGGACATATTTCCAAAACCGTTTCGATTATAACCGGAAGCTGCATTGAACGAGAGTGCACCTGGAACCCAGACACTCGTGATCGAATGCGCGTTTCATGAGCAGCGATTTCGCTCCTAGAGCGGCTCGATTCCCGGCGCCGCTGCGCTCTGGCCACCCGCGCTGGCCTTTCACAGCGCGGCCGAGAACCGTGTGACAAGAGAAGCACGGCTGCAAAGCTTCGCAGAGGATGGCGTTTTTGTGCTTTTCAAGCAGACGACATACCGAGAAAGTAGGCAAGCGACTGGTTTGCGGTTCCCCTTTTGTATTTTCATTGGGGGGTTATTCTTTATCCTTTTGGCTTCGGCGGTCGGGTCGGAACTGTTCGGGAAATTGGGGAGGGGATTGTTCTTACTTTCCTCCGAATATTTTGCGAGAAATGCCTGAAACGTTCGGGCATATCCTATAGTTTTTTTTCAGCTTAACTCCGAGCATGGCCAAAGCTACGGGTGGCCGGGGTCAATCAAAAGCCGGACATAGGATGCGACCTCGCATGCACTTCGTACATCACCCCGCGCGGAATCTGCGCAGAGGTGCAGAGGAGTCGAAGAGAGACATTTCCTCTGCTACGGGAATATCGACGGCATCGGCTGCTACATAATTGAAATGCCATTGCGCATACTGGAATAAAATTCCGGTTCAGTGCGGCGGCTACTGGGCTTTCGCGGAGAGCCGTCGCACTGCCGGCAGGAAGGCCGGGACGGGAACACGGAAGTTGGCAACGTTCAGTGCCCAGAGGGCTCTTCCTCTCTGCCGCGGAGATGTCCGCAACTCTCGGAAAAAGCGGGCCGGGCGATCTCTCTGGGTAGACTGCTACCAAGTCGCCCATGTCGAACAAAGCAGCGCTATCTCCGCAAACGCATAAGAGCAACAAGAGCGTACCGCGTCCCTCCGGTCGCGCTGCAGTACGCGTTTTCTCGGCGCTCCACCGACATCGCGTGGATTTGCCTCTGATCGCCACCTCGACACCCGATTTTGACCCGTTTATCATCGGAGAGCGTTTCTCGCCGTCGGCAGATCAACTTTTCGTTGATTTCCCAACATCTGTTAGCTCCGATGCTCGTTGAAAAAGTTCGCCGTACGACGCGGCTTGAGACTCCTCACGCTGACGCCCAAACGTGCCTTTCTTCTTATCTGGCGTTGTCGGTGGAAATGAGGAAAAGAGAAAACTAAAGGGTGTCCAGCAACTTGGCGAGGAAAGCGTCGAACCGGAAGCCCACGATTCGGCCGTTGAAAACACAAAATTAAAAAAAAAAGAAAAGAAAAAGAAGTGTAGTAGTCATATCAATGTTGCCAGCGGCGTTTTTCGTCGAAGCATATTCATTATTATATAGGAAAAACCTGGAACGTCATTTATTTCATTATTTTTTTGATAATTACTTCTTAGGCAGGAC